ATTTGTATTGACATTTTATTTAAAAACGTTATATATGTATATTTATTTACTTGAACAATGTGCTTTGTGTGAAATAAATTAAATGTGGACCAGCCATAAAAATGTCTCTCTATCTCTGTGCACTGCTGCCCTCTGTTGGTGGATGTACACCAACACTGCTCAATTCCTTCTGTTGGTACTGTTATGTTAAAAATGAAGACCAGATGTTTCCACTGGTGTGTGCCTACCCTCGTATGTGTTGACGGCCTCCAGGTTCATCACGTGACGGATAATGTGGTACTCATCTGCGATACCATTTCCTCCCAGCATGTCTCTGGCTTGTCTGGCAATATCCAATGCCTTACCACAGCTATTCCTCTTCAGCATGGAGATCATGTCTGGTGCTGCCCTATTAGGAGAAAAATACATTAAAGACAAAGTTTTTTATAGAAGAAAGTATTGTAAAGACAGAAAGAGAAAGACTCATTCTTCTACATCAATAAGTTCCCTTCCCAGGACAGATACATACTGCAGATCCAGGATCTCCGCAGCATTTAGCCATTTTCTTCTGCATCAGCTGGTTCCTGGCCAGCGGCACCCCAAACTGGATTCTGATTGGAAGGTAGAAATACATGAAAACCAATCTGTCTCTAAAAAGAGCTGAGGCTGGCATAACACGAGGAGACTGTATGGACAGTGTGGTAATGCTAACGCTCACACTTTTTTCACTGGATTTGGATTGTGTTATGTCTATAAGCTGTGACCTTTGCTTTAGTGAGCACAGATACTGTAGACAGAATATCATGTACCTGTCGAGAGTGTACTGACGGGCAGCGTGGAAGCAGAATTCAGCAGCTCCCAGAGCTCCCCATGCAATGCCGTACCGGGCGTTGTTCAGACAGCCGAATGGACCCTGGTCAAAAAGGTCAACAACAGAAGAAATGTAAGAAATCAGCACACAGTAACATTAATGTTTCAAATCATTTTTTTTTAGAGAAGTTGAACTTGATTTAAGAGCCACTTACAGCTAGACCAGAGACGTTGGGCAGCAGGTTCTCCTGGGGAACTTCCACTTCGTCCATTAGGATCATGCCTGTGGCTGAGGCCCTCAGTGAGAACTTGCCCTCAATCTTGGGGGTAGCGAAACCCTTCATTCCACGCTCCAAGATGAAACCTCGCACCCTGCCATCCTCGCACTTGGCCCACACCACTGCGATGTCTGCCACAGGGGAATTTGTGATCCTAGAAGAGGAAAGAGAGTGAGTAACAACAGAAAGGCGGTCGATAATGACATTATATGTATTTTCAGTTTAACTGACTTAAAATCTATTCTATCACAAAACTATCCCCAAAGAGAGCAGGCCCTGTCAACTTGTCTCATGGCATGGCATACTGGCAGCACTATAGTAACAGTTCTTTTCACATCATTAGTCTCAAAATAGCGGACCTCCATGTGTCAGAAACAGTCTCCATTTGTAGACAGTAAAGAGGGTCGGATACATTTTAAACTACCTTATACTCCAAAAGTAAAGGTGACACTAAGACAGAATGAATTCAGTAACATTGCTTGTTCTTTATTTTGTTGCCATATAATTAATTATTTCTATTCTATAGGTTTTTCACAGTATCAGATTAATCAGATTTAACAGATCTAACATGGCAAAATCTAAAGCACACATCATTGTCCAGCACTAGTGTCAGCATCTGTCCCACTGTAAGTCAATAGAGAGCTTTGAGAATAAAATACTCCACCACGAAAGCCAGTGCTTTTCGTATTGTGTCATTCTACCTACCAGGTCTTAGATCCACTGATGGTGAAAGTGCCACTGGATGAGTTGTATTTGGCCTTGGTCTCCATACTGCTTGGATCACTGCCGTGGTTGGGCTCTGTCAAGCCAAAGCAGCCCAGGATTTCTCCACGAGCTGAACAACAAATGAACACACAAGGGACAATCTTGAGACTGTCCTTTCCCATTTTTAAAATGTTGTGTACAAATGTAGAAGATTGTCACTCTCACCGAGCCGGGGCAGGTACTTCTCCTTCTGGGCCTCTGTGCCGTAAGCATTGATGGGGTGCATGACCAGTGAAGACTGGACGCTCATGACTGACCGATAGCCACTGTCCACTCTCTCAACCTCTCTAGCAATCAAACCATATGCTACATAACTAGTGCCTGCACAGCCGTATCCTGCAGGGAAAGTAAAACACAGTGTAAAGTTATCCTAATCCCAACATAACAAACACATACATAAAACATATAGAAAACATATGTATAGGCACATAAAGAGCTTCACAATACTGCAGAACAAAGTTCCTGTTCTTTAAACAAAGGCTTCAATGACTCATATATTCTGTGGGACAAAATAATGATAATGTATCTTTGTTTCTGTTTACCTTTAATAGTTGGGCCCAAGACACCCAACTCTCCCATCTCTGAGACAATCTCACGGTGAAAATCTGCAACACAGTGCATGTTGGGAAAATAGAAATTTACAATCAAATATTTATGATAAAATAAACACTTCACTAACAGTCTAACTCGACAGGTGAGTACAAAGCCAAAACCTGAAACTGAACTAGTCACATGAGAATAAATATCTAACATTCTTTGATCTGAACATAAGTGAATTTGTTTAGTCTAACAAAGACATACTTCCTCTGTGTGCTCTGATCATGGATCTGTGCTTTGCTTACGTTCATGTCTGTTTGCCATGACAATGCGGGGCATGAGTTTCTCCTGGCAGTAGTTGCGGAAGGAGTCTCGGATCATGATCTCCTCCTCTGTCAGCTGACCCTCAAGATCCAGGGCGTCCCGCCAGTTGAATGACACCTTGGCTGAGGGTCAAAACATTTACACACACACAGTGCACAGTGGTTATGTCACTGCAACATATGGTAAGAGAACGTGTGAAGGAATCTGGACAGGCCGGGTTAAAACTTCACTTACGTGCCTTTGCCGGCTTTCTGTTTTCAACATCTGAAGAAAGAAGAGGAAAAGTGTTGAGTCCAGTGGATTACATCATCTTACATTACATTTTAACTATTTATTTCTGTCCGGACTTCCTTATCACTCTTAAACCTCAAACTTGGTCTTACCAGTCCTTTCTATATATTCAAATAATGAATAAAGATTTTGAATGGTACCTTTGGGAGCTGCAGCAGCTGTGCCCTGGGCTCTGGACGCAGTGACAGCGGCACATTTTTGGCTGTTTGAGAGCAGACGAGTGACAGCACCTCTGAGAGCCATATTTTTACTGAACATGGAGGAAAGGAGAAATATATGTTAAACTTGTAATATTTTTAATATGCTGTTATAAACATTTAAAGCACATTTCCCAGTTAATGACACAATGCAACCATTATGCAACAGCAGTTGAGTTGGTTGAGTTTTGTCAATGTCTCACATTACAATTGTTTTAAATTATTTATGTAAAGTGATTTTAGTAAGTTCATATACACACTTTGTTTTTACTGTTATAACATTATTGTCACTCCATGCAGGGGAGAAAACATGTGATTGGGTTAGAATACTGTCCTAAATGTTTTCTCAGCTCTTCTGGATGCAGGAAAAAGGGAAATTAAACTGTAGCCTGTTTATAATGTTTGATCAGAACAAAGCAGCTCTTCCCTTATAAGCAATGTTCAAATATCATAAATCAACTTCTCCATGCATCAGTGTAATCATTTACTGATTTAGGAACCCTTGGTCTAATCAGCCAGCTGTACAGTACCTCGTTCTTCTCGTTGAGTTTATCTGATGATCCGGTGACTTTTCCTCGGGGATGTGAGCGATAAAAGTCGGTTAAATAATATTTGGCTCGGTGCAACGTCACAGGGATACGTAACGTCAAACATGGGAGCTCTTTTCCTCCATGACAGGTGAGGCAGAAGACACCGGAGCAATGCACGACCTGTAGTTGTGCAACGCCTGGAAGTTGTGCAACCCAACTTCGGACTACCTATAGCGGCAGAAATATAATGATCTTAAACACACTTGTGGAGTTTGTGTGTTGGAAGTGTCAGGTGCTGCTGCCTGTGCCTTGTATAGTGTGATGTTTTCACTTCTAGGAGTTGTGTGAATTAAATTCCCAGCACAGTTCCACACTCAAAATGGCGTTTTAGTACTGCTGGGGGAGTGTGTGTGGAGCACGGTGTGGAGGGTGTCGGCTCAAGCTCTCCCAGCTCATTGGCTGCTAATATAAGGAGCCATATACAGAATGTGTGAGGGCTGGAGACAGCTTTTATAAGTGACACTGCAGCTGACAGTGGAGGCAGCTGACTACAGGCAAACACAACAGCAACTACATCAACAACAATCATGCGTACATAATGTTAGGATTATTTATTACTGATGTGCGGATTGGGAGGGAAATGTTATGAAGGTTAAAAAAGAGGAGGAAGAAGAAGAAATACCCCCCTGAATTTTAAAGACAGATGACCTTTTACAGTGTAACCAGCCATTGTTGGTATTTATTTCCAGATAAAAGATAAAACAATTTATTATCAAAGATCTCCTCCACACATATAATGAGACATAGCCTTTACACATACTCTACTTGGAGCCGTGTGTGTCAGTTTTATTATGAAATAAGAATAATTTGCACATTAAAATCCTTTAAAAGGCATCTACTCCATCTGCCTCATTAACTTACTGTCAATATGCTCATTTTATTAATTCCCAGTTTTACTGTTGGACACATGATGTCTCCTACTTCACTGTAAAATCCATTGTCAATGTATGGCTGTGAATTTTTCCACATCACACTTGAAAAAGCTGAACACTGGGACTGGATTTGTCTTCCAAACTGATGTCACAAATCATGCTGTAGGCTAGATTTACAGTGAGCGCAGAGAAACCTTTAACTTTCAGCAGATGAATGTGAAA